GGGTGCGTGTTGAGCAGGGGTGCGTGTTGAGCAGGGGTGCGTGTTGAACTGTTGGGTGTGGTGTAGTGATGGGGTGCGTGTCGAGCTGTCGGGTGTAGTGTGGTGTAGGGGTGCGTTTTGAGCTGTTGGGTGTAGTGTAGTGTAGGAGTGCGTTTCCTCTATCTTTCTCTGCTGTAGCGGGTGGTTGTGGACCGTAGCCTGTACGCACACTGGTGCCGTTACAGGATGTACCATGTATGTGCTGTGCTCTGTTAAATACGGCGGATGTCTGTTTTCCACTGTAAATCGTACACACGAATACTGAGTATACGATGTATGTACCCTATGCTGTTAAGGGTTTTAGGACTTAGACCTCTAAACCCTAAAAACCTAAACCTTCATCCCTCAACCCCATGAACCCACTTCAAACCCTAAGCCCCTAAACCCTAAAACCCTCGCCCACCTCTACGCTTGCGGTTGCAGATGGTCAACGGTGCGCGTATACCTGATGGCTTTGAGAGCCGGTCACTGCCGCACTTCGAGCGCTTTTCCAAAACACCCCAGGCGAAAGGTGAGTAACGTGTGTACAAGTAAGTACTAACCGCTGTAATCTATCAGCATATCAACCCTATGGAAGTGCATGGGAGGTGTTTGTGGTTGTGGATGTACGAACATTAGTATCTGTATGAGGGGTTGATTGGTGTCTTCAGACGCTTTGAGTCATGCCTGTTGGTACTTATGATCGGTGTGAGCGCCGTGCATGCGTGCGAGCGTGTGGCTGAGGTATCTGCGAGCCTTGTGAAGATTGAATAAATACCTCACACATCAACAAGGCGAGTTGTTCAAGAAAAATCCTGACAAGTGTCAATGTTTTTGAGTAACATCTCAGATATGATAGTACTCAAGTTGTTTGTTGAAAAGATAGTACGTTTGTATCATAATCATACTGCTGTGCGTACAATAGTAAACATCTATGTATTTTATGCTCAATTACACATAGACAGGGAGAGAGAGATATATATATATATATAAATATATATATATATATTCATATATACATATGTATGTATGTATGTATGCATGTATGTATATATATATATATGTGTGTGTGTGTATGTATGTATGTATGTATGTATGTATATATGTGTGTATTGTAGTATATGTATATATACAATATGTATAAATTTGTATTTATATTTATATTTATGTATACATGTATATGTATATATATATATATATATATAAGTGTGTGTGCGTGTGCGTGTATATTTCTGAAACTTCTGAATTCAAAGTATTAGAAGATGTTTTCATATGTTCATTTTTCACAAATATATGTTCCTTCGATGTAGGTGACTGTATTTTATCCATGTTTAGGATATCTAATTTTAGTCCGTCTTCAACCTACTTGTCAGGGGTTCTATTCGCATTTTACTTATGGTGTGTACCACATTGGCTACGTTTCCCCAGGGTTTGTGCGTAACTCGTTCTACACGGGATTAGAGCCCACAGAGTTTTTCTTCCACGCCATGGCCGGGCGTGAGGGTCTGGTAGATACCGCTGTCAAGACGGCCAACACGGGATATATGCAGAGACGGTAGGGCTGAATCTATTTATCGAACGTTTTCCCTATCAAGTCTGTTCATAGGCTTAGCATGGACTTGTATATACACTTGAGAAGACTATAAATAGATTGTATGCCTTTTTAGGAACACTTTTGCTATCGTATCATCCGATATTAGCCGCTACTAGTTACCTGGCCAATTCACACCTGATAATCGGAACAGCCTGCGTGCCCAACATCACAGCCTGTCCGATTGTCCAATCAAAACAGTCAAAGACTATTAGGTCATCACATGCAGCTGCTGCTGCTCACAATGTGCCATTCATTAAAATAGAACCACGCACTACACAATGCATGCTATATGTGTTTTATTCATTAGAATACAACCACGCACTACACAAAGCATGCTATAAGTGTTTTTTCATTAGAATACAACCACGCACTACACAAAGCATGCTATTTGTGTTTTTTCATTAGAATGTAACCACGAACTACACAAAGCATGCTGTTTGTGTTTTATTCATTAGAATATAACCACGCACACAACACAAAGCATGCTAGTTGTGTTTTATTCATTGGAATATAACCA